ACCACTAAAAAGATAGTCCATTCAGCTGTTCACTTACGTAAAGAAAGGACTTGTTTTTTTTTTTTTGTTGTTGTTGTTGTGTTTTGTTTTTTTTTAAAGTCTAAATCTTGAACTTACAAATGCAGAAAAGTTCTGACTTTCTTTTTGACATCCTTTGGTTCCTGAAACAATGACAGTGCTCTCTATGGTAGCTCTCTATGGTAGCAGGTGTCTCAGATGTGGGAATAATTTTCTCTAACTTGCTTAGGAAGACTTCCCAGGGGACCCACAGCTTAGATCTTACTACAAGATAGCTGTATGCGAGCTAGAATTTAGAGGTAACATTGAGGTGGACAAGCCAAAGTAGTTCCAGAAGCTTCCATTAGATTAAAACAAGTGAGATTGTGGTAATGCTTGCTACCCTAACAGGTGGCAGAAGCCTGCATGGAAAAGCATCCACTTAGCACTCCTGGTCAGAGCAGTCTACCAGAGTGCCATACTAGAGGATGCATCCTCAAGGAACCCTCTTTTCCAGGCTCTCTGCTGTGGTCCTTGCTCTTGGCTGCTTTCTCATGGACATCACATTGCCCCAGCCTTCATGTTTAGAAGATAATGTGGGGCCACTCTGCCAGATTCATTCTATGTTCAGTTTATGGTAGCCCCAGAGTTAGTCTGTTAGCCTTGGCCTACATTTTCCACATGGGGTGTTAGCCAATTTCCATTCCCAGTAAAATATTTTTCATGAAGTTTTTAATCTAACGGAGGGAACAAAGACAGAGAGCAAAACCCACACAGTTCAAGTTCCTGAATTTATGTCAGGTGGGAGTGACAGGAACAAAGTTGATTCAATTGAGAAATACTGAGTTCACAAAGTATTTGTTGATTGACTCGTGTTTAGCTTTGTGCTAGCATCTGGAGATGCTGGAGTTTTCCCTACTCTGAGGACATGCTCCCTGCTTAACTAAAGGGCGCCTTTCTCTGGAGTAAAATTAACCTGTGCTCCCAAGGAGAGACCCTCCAGATTGCTTAGCCATTCTTAGATTGGTGAAATAAGGACGAATGGGGAACATTGATGTATTTCTTAGTGACTCATTTGGTGATAATTCCTTGTTTGAAGGGCTCAATGCTATGTAATCAACAACTGTCCCTTCCCTGAGCCTTTTCTTTTCCTTTTTTCTTTCTTTTTTTTTTTTAAATTCCAAACTGTGGGATTTTCCATCATTTTGTTAGCTTTCCTGAAGGCATGCTGATTCTTCCACTAGAACTGTTTTGGGGGGCTGTTTCAAAGCAATTCAAACACTCACTGGGACTTGAGATTACTTGTCACTGGCAGGGTCTGGGAGAGTGGCTGCAGTGAACCCTTTTCTTCTTAGGAGGGCTCAGACACTGGGTTGCTTTCTACATCATGGAAGCTGTCCTCAATCATGCAGTGTCACCTCTGTTCATTTTGACATTCAGAGGTGAAATATTGGCTCCTTTTTTGGAGGTCACTGATTTTCATCATGTCTTTTGTATGTATTTAGGGGCTTCTTCCCTCTTTCCCTTTCTCCCTCCCGCCCTCTATCCCACCCTCCATTCCCTCCTTCCATCCCTCTCTCCTTCCTTACTTTCAACTAGCCAAGGAACTTCTAGAACAAGCTAGCTGAGGAACTTTTGTAGTTTCCTCTTCTGGAACCCAATCATCTTATACCAGTTTCTACATGTGGGGACACAGAGTTCAGGCTTTTAAAACTCATGGCAGTGAAGGTAGTCACTGCACAAAGTCACAGAAAAGCTAAGAGGGCTTATATTCATGGAGAAATTGACTCAAGATGAGTTTAGAAGATGTTTGATGTTGGCTCTGTGCATGTACTCATGTTGGAAACGTGGCCTACAAGTGTGGGTGGGTAAAACTGTGTGGGGTCTGGCAAATGATGACACTGGCAGGTCTGCAGGATTTGATACCCCACTGTCCTTTCCCTTCTACATAAATAATAAATTGGGACTTTTCCATATACACTTCAGGATTGCCTGACTATCTTATCAGTATTGCTACTTTTCCTAGTCAAAGCCACTATCATCTTCCACCAGAACAAATGTTACCATTTTCTTAAGTCTTCTTAAATCCACTCATGTGCACCTAAACCACTCTTTACAAACTAGCAATGCAGTGAGGCCATTCCTCTGGTTAAACTTCAGCAGCTTTCTATTTTCCTTAGGATAAAGTGACCTATTCTCTAACATTGTCTCCACTTACCTCTTCAACTGGATGTCAAACAGCTGCCCTTCTGATTGCTCTGATTCAGTAGTTGTTCTTTTTTCTCTTGTTCCAAGTTTTATTTCTTTCTCTGTAATTTTTAAAACTTAAATTTGTTCTTTCAAAATTTAGTGTGTTTGTGTGTGAGTGTGTGTGTGTGTGAGGGAGAGAGTGTGAGAGAAAGAGTATGTGTGTGAATGAGTGTGTGTGAGTGTGTGTGTGTGAGAGAGTGTGTGTGTGAGAGAGAGTGTGTGTGTGAGAGAGAGTGTGTGTGTGAGAGAGAGTGTGTGTGTGAGAGAGAGTGTGTGTGTGTGTGAGAGTGTGTGTGTGTAGAGTGTGTGTGTGAGAGAGAGAGAAAGTGTGTGTGTGTGAGAGTGTGTGTGTGTGTGTGTGAGAGAGAGTGTGTGTGTGTGTGTGAGAGAGAGAGTGTGTGTGTGTGTGAGAGAGAGAGAGTGTGTGTGTGAGAGAGAGTGTGTGTGTGTGTGTGAGAGAGAGAGACAGAGAGAGAATGTGTGTGTGTGTAGTGTGTATGAAGATTGCTTCACTCTTACCTCCTCACCATTACTGTAAATCCTCCCCGCAGTCTTTTCCCTATAGATAGGATTTTTACTTTTATTTTGTGACTCAGTCTAACCAGGGCCATCTGTTTGACCTTTGGTTTGGAACTGTCCATTGGAGCCTGTGTCATTTAGCTCTTACATTATTTCTGTCCCCCCTCCTGCTTTGTTCCCTGTACCTTAGAGGGGATGGTATAAATGTCTTGTTTAGGGCTGAGCATTCATCTTGTGTAGCTATGAGTCCCTTCACTCACTGGCATTTACTGCCGATTAAGGCTGGGCGTAGCATTTGTTGATGAGTGTAAACATAAATATTTAGAAGGCTGTTTGATGCTATGGCAATTTAGCTAAACAACCTTATTCACTTGCCCACTACAGCCTCAAACATCCTATCCACGAGTTTTTGATAGGGCTTACTGTCCCAGGCATGGATTCTGTCCTGTGGAGTGGTCCTCAAAACCAGAGAATGGCTGGTGACCCATAACAATAGCACTACTGTTGTACAAGTGTGCACATATTGATCTTGTAGTTTGTAGGGCTCACAGCTTTGTAAGACCATTGCTGCCTTTCTCCAGTAGTCTCCATAGCACATTTTAGGACTCCGAAGAATAGTTGGAGAGGAGAACGCTTCCGGCTTACTTTTAGCTTGATTTCTCTATATCACTCAACCAAGGCATGTGGTGACAGGACTGTCCTGTCTCTACACTCATTTAGTAAAGTGCTCAGATTCTTATTAAGCCATAAAAAGGAGATAAGATGATGGGAGATGTCATTCTGTAAATATGTTTCTCATATTAGATAATGAATAAAACACTGTTGGCAACAGGAAAGCAAGGTAGGTGGGACTAGGAGACAAGGAGAATTCTGGGAAATGTAGGAGAGTCAAGATGTAGGGACTTAAGGGAAGAGGTCCAGACCCTCTCTCTGGTAAGATAGGACCATGTGGAAACACTTTGATTAACAGAAACGGGTTAATATTTAAGACAGAACTAGCCAGTAAGAAACACTAGTAACCGACCAACAGCTTTATATCTAATACAGTGTCTCTGTGTGTTATTTGGGGCTCACATGGATGTGGGACCAGGCTGGAAAAAAAACTACATGTAACAATAAGAGGGATGCAAATAGGAAAAGAAGTCAAAGTGTCCCTGTTTGTAGGTGATACATTATTGTACATAAACAGACCTTTCCTAACCAGTTAGCTTTCAGGATACAAAATTAACATGCAAAAAAAAAAAAAAGTGGCCTCTTTATCAGTGACAACAGCACTGGGGAGGAAATGAGGGAAATCATCCAATTCACAGTGACCTAAAAAATACCTTGGTATAAATCTAACCAAGGAGGTGCAGAGCCTTAACTTTCATCTTTTTGATACTTACCTCATGGCCTTCCTTTACGCTGTGCCTAAGATGGTGTTGCCTAAGTTTAGTGCTCACCACTGGATTTTGTGTTGAAAAGCAGACAAGTAGGCTCTGACCCAATAGGCCTTCAGTGAAACTGAAAATTTGTGTCTGATCATTTCCAGGAGAGACTGATATGTCTGCTTGGGGCACCACACTCTGAAGGCTAGAGTATACTTTTCTTCCTTCATTTCTGAGAGTGCCCAAGCTCTCACACTAACTATCTCTCTGCCTCTGGCATGTTTTTCCTGATCCTCTGGAACTGCAGCCATTCCTGTTCTAAGCTAGCATCCATCTTCTCCTTTGGAGCCCATATTGACATTGTATTTAAACATTTGTCTCTATAGATTTTTATTAACTGAATCTACTGCGTCTGTCTTGGGCAGTGCTGTTTCTGTGTTTCCTGCTGTGTTTTGTTCTGTGCTAGTCCCATCTTTTGCATATTTCAAGCACAAAGCAATTCTTGGTTGCATGAATAATATTGTTTCTTCTTTTTATAGGTAACTGAGAATATGTAGTAGCACAAATGGTTTCAATGAATAAGAAAGATAAATGGGGGTTGTGGATAGTAGAAATCAGAAGAAAGAAGAAACATCTTTTGTTCACTATGGTACAGAGCATTGTAAGCAAGACATGGTTTTCTTTTTCAAAGTGGCCTAGCATATTGTGGAAAATCCCTTCAATTTTACCTACTGTGATGAGGACATTAACAGGGTTCTTTCTCAGGTTGCATTCTCCAGTTCATTCACACCCTCTCATCCTTTGTGAGTGGTTAATTACCTATGTGGTTTTTGTGTTTCATATGCTGTTTTTTTCTTTTCCTTACAGATGTGGAATGTGCAGATGTTCCACTGTTAACTCCAAGTAGCAAAGAAATGATGTCCCAAGCATTGAAAGCTACTTTCAGTGGTTTCACAAAAGAACAGCAGCGACTGGGAATCCCAAAAGGTATACTTTTTACAGTAGGAAAAGGGGTCACTCAGGTTAGATCCTTAGGGAAGTCTCATTACTCTCCTGTAGCTAGCTAGCTAGCTAGGTTGGTTTAGATTAGTAGCACTGGAATCAGAAGTGATGGGCTATCCACGAGACACAGGAACTGAAGACCCACCTTTCACAACTTGTCATCACCATCTTGGTCTTAGGACAGTGTTTCCCAAACCTGTCTGTACATCTGACTCTCTGGACTTTTGAAACTTTCAGGTAGACCCCAGACCAGACCAATTCAATCTCACCAGCCGCTGATGTCTTTATTTTATAAAATCCTCAAACAATTCCAACTTGAAGACAAGTTGGAGACATTTATTTTAGGGTCAATCTGAGATACCGTGGATGAACCCCAGGTGCTGTGTTCTTTATATTTACGCTCTGTTCTCTTCCATGTACTTGGGCGTAGTATGCTTGGTTTGTTGAGAATGGAAAGGGTCTGGAGTTGTCAGAAAGAAGTGAACTGAGAATTTTCAGCTCTGCCTAGGAACATTTCTTGGGTGGTCAAGAGTGGAAAAGCTTTTGTTATTGTTAAGAAAGTTGAAGGAAGGCTGTCTGTAAATCATGCCTCTTTCACTTCTGGGTAAGAGGTTTCCAGCATGGCTAGACTGGAGCTATGGTTAGCTTTTTGGAGTGTACCTATATATTTTTCTTCTGTTTACAATTTTACCCCACACCTGGGTGGAGAACATTCCCAAATGTTTTTTGAGGACCAGAAGCCAGAGAAAAATAACTTCTAAGCCCTGGGTGTTCTAGCATTTCATGAAGTTACCTTTTGGACTCAAGCATCAGTTATGTGGCCACTGAAGCCTGTTGTCATCTGAGCCCCTTTGGTGTCACTGGCAAGTACAGCTTTGTCAAACCTTAGGTCATGTATACAGATTATATGTCATCACTGTTATTCAAAGTAGGGCCTGTGGCAGGTGCAGACTTTGCATGGCATTGGTCTCATGTAGTCACTAATAAAGACATTTGAATGACTTACTATTACTAATTGTGGTGATTACTGTAAAACCCAAGTGTCTAAGATAAAAATAATCCAGTTTAAAAACCTCAAGTGTATTGAAGAGTTGAGGACAGAAGCGTTTGCAATTTGTGGAAAACACTTTATACTATTACTATCGCTATTAAAGAAGGTACATTCCTTTATCTGGGGCTTTTACAACTTTTAATGGAAATAAGAACGAGAGAGGAGATCAGTGGAAATCTTGGCCTGAATGAAAACGGAATCATTGCTGGCTGACCACAGCTCTTCCTACCTGGAAAAATAGGGAAGATGTGATGCTGAGTGTGGGGAGAAGTATATGAGAAGAGCTGCAAAGTTTGACAACACAGGATGCTGCTCCCTAGATCTGAGGGTAACTAGTATCCTCACTGTCCTCTCCCCAGCCTGATGTACTACATCCTCATTTGGTCTCTCTTTGCAGACCCCCGGCAGTGGACAGAAACACATGTTCGGGATTGGGTGATGTGGGCTGTGAATGAGTTCAGCCTAAAAGGTGTAGACTTCCAGAAGTTCTGTATGAATGGAGCAGCATTGTGTGCCCTGGGCAAAGAGTGCTTCCTCGAGCTGGCTCCAGACTTTGTCGGGGACATCCTGTGGGAGCATCTAGAGATCCTGCAGAAAGGTAAATATGTGAAAACAGGGAGGAGAGGGTTGTGTGGAGTTTCTCTAAGAGTAGGAGACAAGCTAGCCCAATAGTGTGATGCCCATGCCATTGTTTGTGGGTGTTTAGCCATGGCATAGATGGTCTGTAGGGATGTGTTTAGTACAGAGCTTGGCACAAAACAAGAGCTCAATAATGCAGGTTTATTTTTCTTCTGTGCATTAGGAGTTAATATTTTAATTTTTAGCAAGATAGTACTTCTTTAGCATCTTGTATGCAAAAACATGATTTAGGTTATTTTCTTAGACCCATACATTGTTTGAACAAATAGTTTCCACATCTAAAACCTGACTTAAAAAAAAGATGTCCCCCCCCAGTAATTTTAATATATACTCTCTTGCTCTACAGTGTATACTGTCTGGTAACAGGACTGTATAGCTTCTCCAATCTTATTAGCAAGGCAGGTTTCTCTGCCACTCACTGGCTTGAGATTATGGCAGTGTAGAATACCTTTTACATTTGGAGCCAAAGCTAGGGGTTATATCAGGACGTGGTGTTGCAACCTTGTAATGACACAGCCTCCTCTACCGGCCTCTACTAACCTTTTTGGACCAAGTGACTCATGTCCCATAGCTCTGGCTGAGTATAGAAACAGCAGAAGGCGGCAAACTTGGGTGTTTCTGCACTTATTTTTCTGAATTTCTTCTTAAAATAAATTATAGTTACCAGCAGTCAGCAGTGCCCTAGAGCTGACTGTAAGCCTAGAAGCCTGCTGCCCTCTGTAACCAGGCCCACCCTTTCCCTGTGGTCACCAGGCCCAAGCTCTAGCACAGCTACTGTGGACAGGGAACACAGCTCATTCCATATAATACTTTCCTTTGTTTAAGAGTATGCCCTACTCTCAGGGCTGAGGAGATACCCAGGTCCCATTCCTCTAGGCACAGAAGTGCCATGTTCATTCCTCCTCAGCTTCTTGTTGAAAATAATCAATGTTTGAACACAGTCAAGGATTTGGTGGTTCTTCCTATGGCTGAAGCTACTGAGGAGTGGACAACAGCCTTAGTAAGCATTAGTAGTATACTGGTGCTGACCCACTGACATGAGTGACCTGTTCCTAAGAGGAGAAGAGAGATGTGTTAGGCTCCTCACAGAGCTGGTTTAACTGCTGGCTTTGGAACACAACAACAGGTTGCACCAGACCATGAAGCCAAACATAGTCTGTTAATACAATGCTTTGAAATGGAATGAATTCCCACAATGAACATACCAGGAGCTCAGGGGTAATCTCAGCCCGCTATGGGTCATGTATATTCATATCCTTGATTCCAAAGTTCTGTAAAATCTATTTTCTTTTGGAATTATCCCCAACTAGTCATCAGCACTTTAAACTTTACTTACTTCTAAATCTTTTTAAATTTCACTTCTCATTCTGCGTTCATGCTGTGATATTGTGGGCTTGTGGGAAACTTCCATCTCTAAGATAGGATTAGACTGTGGACTACTTTTATGCTGTGGATTACTTTTAGGGAGTTGATGTGAAGTAGGGTGTCACTGAGTATGTTTGAGAAGGCAAGTCCTGTCATCCCAGGCCATGCTCCTTTGCCCGAGGCAGTAAAACTGTCCTTCTGTGGACTCATGTATCTGAAGAGCTGATCAGATTGTTTGTGTTCAGGACAACATCCATTTTGTGATCAAACCTGAGCCTCATGGCAGCCAGAGAACATAGCTGCTTGGGGTGGAGTTGGAGGCCAAAGGTGCAGGGGATGTTTCAATCTGATAAGCTGTGCAAGTAGAGTTTAATCATTTTATCTCAACTGGGAACTTTTTTTTTTTTTTTTTTTTTTGAGTGCAGGCATAAACTTGTTTTCCCAGCAGCCTTTGCTCTCTGCAGGCTAGCAGATACCTGAGGAAAAATCCATATCAGTTGTCTCCCTTTACAGTTGATTTTTATAGTGAAATACAGCCCAGCTCTGTAAAGTATCAATAGCTACTGCATTTCCAGAGCAGCCCGGGGACCCTGAGACCACCATGACAGTTCTGTTCTCCCCTGTGCTTTCTCTCCATCCTTTTTGGGTCCCAAGGAAGTTGGCATGTAGGCAGTTCAGTTCAGATATGTTACTTCTCTTACTTTACATAAGCCTTCATGGATCACCGAGTGGAGTCACCTTACCAGTGTCCTGCTTCTTGTCTGGGCCTGAATTTGAATTCCAAGAACAATGAGAAAAGAACAGGAAAAAAAAAAAAAAATCCAGACATCCGCAAAAAGTGGAGGATACAAAAATCTACTTACCTGAGGCCTGAGGACTGAATGTGTTTCTGAAATGTGTCTTAGTTTCTTCTTCTTCTTCTTCCTCCTCCTCCTCCTCCTTCTCCTCCTTCCTCCTCCTCTTTCCTCCTCCTTCCTCCTTCCTCCTTCCTTCTCCTTCTCCTTCTTTTTAATTTACTAGTTGGAGTGTTAAGCACTGATCACGGTCCTTGTGACATCCCCAGACAAGCCTGAAGATTCAATTCTCTGAAAGGGGAACACAAAGATATCACAAATGAGGGCTGCCCATTTTCCCAACTCTTTTTCCACTGGGTCTCCTTCCAAAACAGTACATCTTATTCCACAGACACTGAAATGATAAACTTAGCCATGTTTTTGTGATCTCATCCTGAGACAAGGCCCCAGTCAGGCAACTAACACACCAACTCCTTTAATATGCTTGCAAATGTCTTAGAAAAAAAAGGTTGAGGCCATTGAGGTCCTTGTGTGTCCAAGATCCTTGTAGACCAAGTGGCACTTGCATATTATCTTTATTTCATTCCCTGATATGTTTCTTACAGAGGATGTGAAACCATATCAGGTTAATGGAGTCAACTCTACCTATCCAGAATCCCGTTATACCTCGGATTACTTCATTAGTAAGTGCCATTTTCTACTCTCCTTCTGTCTCTTGGCTTTTCATGATAGGGGTCTTAGAAAAGCTCCCTGTCTTAGTCATTCTAAGATGCTTTAGTAATATCTCTATAGAAAGCAATATTTTCTTAAGTCAGGTGGTGGTGGCACACAACTTTAATACTAGCACTTGGGAGGCAGAAGCAGACAGATGTCTGTGAGTTCGAGACCAGCCTGGTCTACAAGAGCTAGTTCTAAGACAGGCTCCAAAGCTATACAGGGAAACTCTGTCTCAAAAAATTAAAAATAAATAAAAATAAATAAATAAAAAAGAAAGTAATATTTTCTTAATTATATTCTGCTTCTTGTTCTTTACTTTGTGACTTTTCACAAAGTACAAGCATTCTGCTTGGGTGTATGTGTGTTTATCAGTCTACAAAGTTGCAACTGGAAAGGAATACACCATAGCCAGATTTTGATCTTACTTAGCCCCATGTGTGATAGAGGCCTGGAAAGGGTTGAGTTAGGGATTTGATTTTGTCCCTCAGGTTTTCCTTGTCTATTATTGAGGATGACAGTGTTTGATATGGGAACCTTCTGGAAGAGTGGCCCTTGTAACATCACATTCTAGAACAGAAAATAAAGCCTTTTTTTTTTTTTCTTTAGTGTAAGATACCTTAGGATACCATAGAGGTGACCGGATAAAAAGGTTACCATTGAGTTTCTCTGATGGCTCAGTCTTTAAAGGTAGTGTTAAACAGGTGGGATGCCACTTTTATCTTTTTTATTCATTAGAGTTTTTATTCCAATGAAACACTTATATTCACTAGATATCAAGAGGTTATCAAGAGTGTCACAAATGTTGTAGGCATTGTACATATACAGTCTCACTCTTCATCACAGAGGAAGATTTAATTAGCCTTATTTTACAGACAAGTAAATTAAGACCAAAAAGGAAGGTATCTTATCAAGGACTGCAGATAATAAGTCATGGATCAAGGTTGAAACCAAATCCTTCTGATTTACTCTCCTTTTCTTCATTAAGGGTGTCAGCTCATATTGCATGGTTGGTCCTTGACAGGTGGTAAGAATTGCTTCTTTTACGTTGCAATCTCTCCAATTGTGAACATTCTCTTTTTCTAGGCTATGGTATCGAGCATGCTCAGTGTGTTCCTCCCTCAGAGTTCTCAGAGCCCAGCTTCATCACAGAGTCCTATCAGACGCTGCATCCCATCAGCTCAGAGGAACTCCTGTCCCTCAAGTATGAGAATGACTACCCTTCTGTCATTCTCCGGGACCCTCTCCAGACAGACACCTTGCAGACAGACTATTTTGCCATCAAACAAGAAGTGTTAACTCCAGACAACATGTGCATGGGGAGAGCCAGCCGTGGTAGGTCAAATTTACTTTTGGATTCCTTGGGTATTCAAGAATGACCTCAGTTTATGAGTTTTTCAGGTCCTATTTTACTCACGTATCAGTCTTAGTCTTAACAATTTTGAATGTGTAGACAATAAGACCCTTTTACCATGGGAAATTAGCCTTATACAACATGATGGCTATAGTCAAACTTTCTTTTCCACCACTAGTCCCAAATAATGACACAGAGACTTATTATTAATTATGAAAGCTTGGCCTTAGTTTAGGCTTGTCTCACTAGCTCTAATAACTTATATTATCCCATTTACATTAATGTACATTTTGCCAAGTGGCTTTTTACCTTTCTTTTATTCTGTATGTCTGACTCCTCTGTGTTTTGTTAGCACCTCTTTCAAGTACCTAAAAGCGTCCTGAGTTCCTCTCTTTTTCCTGGAAGTCCCTACCTAGCTATTGGCCATTCCGCTTATTATTACACCAATCACAGCAATACATCTTCACATACTGTACAAATATCCCACAGCAGATGCCAAAGAGCTTGGGGTCCATCTTGACATGTGGCAGAATAATAATCAAATGTGTTATCAGGGTAAAATGGTTTGTCTACATAATACTTCTGCTTGGATTTTGAAAGTAGGCTACAGTTTCATTAAGAGCATTTTGTTTGAGATCATAATCTTTTGAAATTTGACATGTACGTTGGTGTTACTTTTAGGGTACACCTGGATCACACTCTAGAACCTGACTTAATACCTGGGATGGCCCTTGCTGTTCATCCTAGGAACTTATCCACTTGTGACTTCTTTGGTTTGGGAAGATACAAGATGGTTAACCAATGGTTTATTTGGAACTGGTCATCAACAGTGTGGTGAAAGTGTGTATTTAGCTAGGGGACCAGGGAAAAGAGGTGGCCAGAGGCTTCCAAAAGAAGGAACTCTTGTTGACAAGGCTATTATAATAATGATAAAGCATTCACTGGCAGTGAAGTCAGTGTTTCAAAATAGATCTGGTTGACCTGTTGCTACAAAGGTAAAATATACCTGATGTTCAAGATGAGGCCATACACATTTGACTACTAGGAGCAGTGTGTTCTGATTGTTTTGCTGTTTAGAAAAGTGTAGCCTGTTAGGAGGAGGAGCTTCTTCATCTAGTAAGAGCCCACTAGTTTCTGAAAAGCTAAAGATACCTTTCCTGGTGGGTAAATGGGAAGGTATTATAAGCAGGAGGAGTAGGGTAGTGATTCCTGCCTACTGAATGATTCCCTGTGGTACCTGTTCAGAGCTCTCCAGAAGGCTGAGAGCCAAAAGGAGTTACCCTGTGGCCATTGTAAACCATGCCTACTGTCATACTCTTCAAGTATTCAAGTTCACACTTCCTCCCAGCAAGCCTTGGGAGAGCTAACTGGCCCTGCACAGGGAAAGTCCCTGCAAAACCAGAACCTGAATGGTCCTTCTTAGACTCCTAGGTTGTTTGTGTTTCAAACCAAAGGGAATGGGTGGGCCCATGTCTGTCTTCCCCTTTCTGTCTGTCTTTTATTTTTGGGTATGTATCTAATTTAAATACTTATTCACAACTATATGCATCTGTGCACTTCTGCTCAAGCAACTTGAAGCCTCAGGACCATTTTCTTCCTTATGGGCTGGTCTCTGTATATATTTAAGGCAATTGAGTTGTGGGTTTGGGGTTCAGCTATGCTGTAAATCTGGGTGGATCTGTAATCATTTTGTTTTACAATTGTGGCTGGTTGGTTTTGCATTTGTGTAAATGCCCCTCTCTCCCTTCTCGTTTCTTAGTTCTTAGGTCCTCATTACCCCTTCAAACCCTAACTAGTGATTATAAACCCAAGCTTATACTTACTAAAGGACATCAGTATTTTTGTTTGTTTGTTTTTTCTTTGTGTGTGTGTGTGTGTGTGTGTGTGTGTGTGTGTGTGTGTGTGTACTATCATTCATCTCCTTCAAGCTCACGCTATAGACTTAAGGGGAAGACCAGCTTGTGCAGGCCTGCTTGCTGCATGGTAGATATGCTGTAACATGGCTGGCCAAGGGGCTTTTGATTCTGAGTGTTGTGATTGGTCTAGACTAAAGATATTACTGTTAGCTGACTATTAATAATCGTAGTATTCAGAATCTGTGTGATGGTATACAAAGTGCTTCTCTGACCCGCTTATTTGTGCTGTAAGGCTGGTTGTGTGAGTCCTTCCTGTGGGTGGCTGTAAGGCTACCCATCTACTGTTCGGAGTGTTGTTCAGTGGAATGAATTAGCTTTGGAAGGTTCTTGAAGAGGCATTTCTCAGAAAAGATGTTCAGTGCTTGTCTCAGGGCATGCTTGCCTCCCTGGTTGAACACAGATGCAGTACTGAGTGTCGAAGCCTATTGGATTCAACCAATGTTTTGGAGAAAATCCCTGTTAATGAATGTTTCCAGCTCTAGGGTTGTTAAATGGAACTGAAATGAAAGAGGCACTCTGCTCTAAGCCACAGTCTTAACCGAGTGGCATCTGGCGAGGCTGCAAGAGAGTAGTGATGCCCGCCCACTCTAGCACTTTTGCTAAATGAAGCTCTCTCAACTTCTGACTCTCCAAATATAAAAATGGCTGATAAGAGTAATTGAAAGAGACTCATGGATAGAGAATTCCTACATATTGTTGACTCAATGGGCAGGGCATCCTTTATGAAAATGTAAGTTTTCTTTCTTAGGCTTTTTGTTATATTTGTGCCAGAGTAGTCAATTGACAGTTAATATCCATAGCTGATATGAGAGAGCACTGTCTTATGAGATACTAGAGAGATTTCTGCCCTGATAAAAAAGGATATGGCTTTATGTTTATGAGCTTCTTTCCCGAGACTTTTAATGTAAGTTAAAAAATAGTAATGGAAAGGGACTAATGTGGTATTGGCTGGGCTAACTGGGCCATTCACTCCTCGGGCTCTGATTTGACTTCTGGAGGTTGCCTTTCTTTCAACAGATGAGCAGAGGGTAATGAGATGTGAACTTTCTGTCTTAAGCATTGTAGGAGGGAGCAGAGGGTAGAATGCCCACAGCAGTGGGTTGTACCAGAAGGACTTGTTTGATCTGGGCTTAAACATTTTTTGAAGCAATGTCTTTCCCATGTATTTAACTTGCATTTGGATAGCTGCTTATGTTTGACTTTTATCTTCTTCACCAGTCCTCACCATGATGAAGGAGGCATGCCACAAACACTAATCTGTGGTTGTATAAGGCACATATACTTGCGGATTTAGCCAGCTTTGTACAACTGAGAATTGATTTGGGGGGGTATTTCTCAGGCACATTTGTCACATCTTTCTATCTTTTGGCTTGTGCTGGATAGAAGTGGCCATCCCATCTCCCGAGATCTGCCTCCAGTTGCCTGAAAAGTCACTAAACGTGGATCATTAAAAAAAAATATTCCTGGGAATCTTTTTAGATATTCAGTGTATTTATTTTCCTCTTAAAATTTCCTTATTAACCCCTCTTTTCATGGCCTTTTTGCCAATGGAAATTCCTCCAGGAATGATTGCACAACTACAGCAGCTGTTTATAACCTGGTTTGGGAAATGAATGAACTTGCGTGATCTTGTGGTCAGTTAAGGATGCCGTAAGCAGCGCGCAGAGTGGGAGGGCTCTGACTCTGCTGTGGGCTTTAGCTTCACTACTCTCCCTTCTGCTTTTGCTGCCCTGGAGTATGGAGTCCAAGTACTACACTGTCCTCGAGAGGGTTTTCTTTTCCTCCCCTTGAGGGCATCTCATAACTTCTTTCTCTGTTTGAGAGGGTATCAAGGAATCGCTTAGTATTTGGGGAAAAATGCTTAAAAAGTAAGACTTCAGTTCCAAGGTCAAGGGAGGCCAATCTGCTCTTAGTCTAATGGAATCTTTTTTTTTTTTTCCTTTTTTTTCTTACCATCAAAATACTTTGCCAAATTGGGCCTTTTGAAATCATTTTATTGGCTGGAATTGAGAAAAAACAAAAACAAAACAAAACAGCAAGAACAAAAAATAACATTCAATCTGCCAGTGTCCTGTTTGCTTTATTCATTAATCCATTAAGTCTAATATATTAATCAGGGATCTCATGGCAAGTAACACTCCAAATTTCTACATTTCTGGCTCCAGAATTCTTGAGGTTCCAATAGATCGAGCAATAGAACCTGATTTCAGGTCTCTATGCTAGGAACCATAAGCCAACTGTGGCAGCATCCCTGAGGCTGTGGCCAGCCTCTTTCCCCCTAGTGTAGACTCATGACTTCTGGGGCTCCTGTATCCCTGGGCCCTCCCTCCCTCCCCTAATCCCTCTCCAGATCTGATTTGCAATCTGTCCTCCATAAGAGGGTTTTTACAGTTGTTTTTTCCCAACCCCTCCTCCCTGCCTTCTTCCTACCTCCTCCTTTACCTCCAGGTAAACTCGGGGGCCAGGACTCTTTTGAGAGCATAGAGAGCTACGATAGTTGTGACCGCCTCACCCAGTCCTGGAGCAGCCAGTCATCTTTCAACAGCCTGCAGCGTGTCCCCTCCTATGACAGCTTCGACTCCGAGGATTATCCCGCTGCCCTGCCCAACCACAAGCCTAAGGGCACCTTCAAGGACTATGTGCGTGACCGTGCTGACCTCAACAAGGACAAGCCTGTCATTCCTGCTGCTGCCCTGGCTGGCTACACAGGTAGGCACCCAGCCCCTGTCTAGGTGGCTATTTGCATGCTTCTGTGGGCCAGGTCAGGTGTAAGTAAGACCCAAGGGCATCCTTTTTTTCTTTTTGTGCAGAGTAGGTTTTTCTGAAGAGTCTTCAGTCTCAAGCAGTGCTGCTTGGGAAAAACTGCTAATTTTTGGAAGCCAATTGTACCGTTCTATCTCAAGGGTTCATTTCAAAGAGTAGTAGGAAATTTAACTTTGAACTTCTTCCATTTGGGGGGGAAGGGACCTATGATGACTGGGAATTTCTGGAAACTGCCTCATGGCTGGTATTGAGGGACTTTTGCTGGTCTGCTCTGGGGAGACCATTCCAAATATGATGCCAGAAGCTGGCTTTCTTAAAGACAGGGTTCAGTGGCCTGCATGCTGGAGAGTTTCACTGTATGGTTACCATAGCAGCTTGCTGTTTGAATTTAGGAACAGTGTTCAGAGCCCTGTTCAGATCCACTCTCCATTTCCATAGCAAAACACTTAAGAACAACAAGAATAACAACATCAACTTAGCTTTATGGTTGGTTTTCTTCCAGGTGTGAAAGCTATAATAAGAATAGTGGTAATTTCAGAAAGAGCCCCAAGAATGGACTTTGACAGAGAATCTGACAGTGGAGTAAGATAGTTGACTACTCAGATGGGCAGCAGTACATGTTACTTAACTCAGGAGCCTTGGAATACTTTGTCTGAGAAAAAAAAATCCAAGGAGCACTAAATAATACATGTGTCAAGCATTAGGTCCTTTCTGTAAGATTACAATGCTTCCAAGGCTTACAATGTGTGTTAGAGAAGAGCCTTGGTTAAACTTGGCTATTCAGGTGTCCTTTAGCAGCTGGCCTTTTACACTGTCCTTCATCTGGACAGATGAGGGATCAGTGTGACTGAACACAAACAACATATGTGATATTTCTGTTGACATACCTGTTTGACACTTAAAGTGTGCTAAGGTAGTAATTGGGATTTTTCTGAAAGTTAACTAATCTTATAAGAACCAAATTCATATACTTAGAAAAATTACTCTTTAAAAGATCAAGAATACATTCTATAAATTGCATTCCACAAACCTCTAGGCTAGTCACTACATCAGCAGTGTTCAGGAACTATGTCTATGATTGGGAGTGACAGCAAGGACCGTATGTAGAGTCAGGGGCCACAGACACTCTTGAAGATCTGTGTTCTTTTGGGAATACCTCCATGTATTTTCTTTGCAGATATTAGTAGGTGGGAGACTTGCCACATTTAACCTTTTTCTGTCTCTGGAGGGCAGATTGTTGGGAAGTTTACTCATTTTCATTAAATTATTTGAGATTAGAAAAAATACAGGAAGTCTTTCAAGGTGTACAAGAACGGCAGACCCTGGGATGGGGACTAGACTGTCTCTGGTAGATGCAGTGATAGAGTCAGGACGGGAAAAGGGCTGCTTCACATGGAAGACAAGGCCGTAGTAGTGTTCAAATGGCTGCCAGGGTTCTTGTCTGGATATTGTTTAGTAGGCTCTTCCCTTCCTTTCCTCCCTCATTTCACCTGCCTTTTTCCTCCCTCTGCCTCCCCTTTTCCTCCCTCCCTCTCCACATGGAATAAGGGACTAAAACATTCAATAAGTAGAGATGGGACAGTGATTTATCACTTAGCTTCCTCAAAGGCTAAACTTTTTAATTGAAAAAGAAAATATTTTTAAAGCCTCTCCACATTTAGTTTCTGTTTCTTTACAGTTGTGGATTTAACTTTTTCAGCCTCAAATGGTAGTGAGAACAATAGCCCAGAAACCAGAAGTCCCCTGAGCCCCCTCCCAGCTCTAACACACTGTGTGATTTTAGGCAAATTCACCTTGTACCTTTTTCTACTTTCGTGAACTGCTCACCCTTATCTTGACAGTAGAGATGTGTGAAAATGCAGTTGAACCATATCAATTAATTAAATGAGTGCTAGACATTGTGCTAGACATGGTGAGAAGAAACCCCTACTTGTAACAAATTGATTATTTCAGCAAATGAGCACCAACTGGGTGTAGATGATACCTCCAGGGGCTTTCTATCTTGTCCAATTTATCCTAACTGTCCTTAGACTTGAAGTAGAATATCTTTTGCTATGGTCCAAATAAAGGTTGGGATTTGTTAGGTGTGTGTGAGCAGACCAGATTTTCCCACGGGTCCTGCCTTTGGGGGCTATTTCCTGCCTCTACGGCAAGTTGTCTGATCCTGTGGCCTCATGGTCCCTTTTCATTTCAGAGACTGAGATGGAACACAACTCTCTCACCGTATGCGTTACCTGAGGTGATGACTACAGTGTCTACAAATGGGGGGGGGGGCCGTCTGGCTTTATGCAGGCATGGTACGATGGGCTGACATTTGAAAAGTGGAAGTCACTGTGTAACTCTTGGCAGAACTTTTGTCATGTTTATAAAAATCACACTCATTTTCTATCTCTCGTTCTTCCCCCCTTTTGTCCTAAAATCCAGTTGCTGCTGCTTGTTTGTGACCTACATTAGGGACACTCAGATTTGTGCATCCTGACTGTCTGCCCTGTACTGCATGCATGCACCTAGCAGAGAAGAGGATACAGCTTCCTGCTCTAGAGTAGGGGCTGTCATCTCCACAGGAATACATTCTCCTTCCTGTGATATCTTAGTTACTGCACTGTAAGTGTGGAAATCAGTTAGAAATTGAATTTTCACATTCTCTTGCACAGTTACATTCTTACTTCAAAGATAAGAAAATTGCATCAGCCTTCACTGGCCTCCCATGGCAACTTGTTAAATTAGGTCGAGATGTGGGGGCAGATAACATGGCTTGAAAGCCTGCCTGTTAGCTGAGTGAAGAATACATCAAATACGACGTTGGCTTCCGCCAGAATGTACCTTCTTACCTTGCTGCTTACTGTTATCAAACTGATACAATCTGAAAGCTCCATTTTCTCTTGTTCATAGATACATTCTGAACCCTTTCTAATTACAATACAGTGAGAGAGGAACCAGCCCACTGTTTTCTGTATACCTTACAGACCTCAGAGAAATGCTAAACACTCAATCTATGCTTGCATGCTGAAATAATCTATTTGCTGTGATTGTGGGCCTCTCCCTCCTTTATCTAGCACAATGTCTAGCATTCATTTGTTTAATTAATTGATTTGGGTGTATGCTTCATGATTTCAATTTCCATGTATGAATAAGATAACATACTGGATTATTAAGTAGTAGTCTCCTTTCCTAACTGTTCTTCTGGCCCCATTTGAGAGATGGTAAAACTGAGCACAAAGAACATACTTAATCCAAATTGAGGTAATTGCATTCTACAAAGAGGTGGCTCCTAAATAAATTTTTAGTGCTGGATGTCTTGCTTGAATGCACCATCTGTTCTACATGTTAAGGAATGGGAACATTCTGTGGGTATCTCCATGTCCTTCACAGAGGGATTAAGATCCAGGTGGCCTCTCATCACTAATTAACACTTCATAAATGTGGCTGAGGTTATAGGAGAGGGACAGAGCTGGGTTTGGCTTCAGCACAGAGTTTCTGGCCTGTCAATCACCATTATTGAACTTCATTCCATATTTGTAGTCACAGACACAGATAAAGGCCTGTTCCTATCCCTGCCACAGGTGCTATTCAGTTGGCAATCCATGCCTGGGTATACCCACTAGGTTGTAATCACGAAGGAAGGAAGTCTTTTTCACCCAGAGCCAGGAAAAGACAATGCTCAAAGCCATTCTTTAATGATCACAAAAGTATGGTTTGTATTCGCTCTCTGTGTCTCTCTGTCTCACTCTGTTTCTCTCTCTCTCTCTCCCTCCCTTCCTCTCTCTCTCTCTCTCTCTCTCTCTCTCTCTCTCTCTCTCTCTCACACACACACACACACACACACACACCAAAAGGAATCAGACTTAGAGGAAAAGCAGCTCCATATGTTCCTCTGTGGTCCCCTTAAATCGACTTTGGTCTGAATGAATTCTGTTCTGTCCTTTTCATAGATGACAGGATGGCCAGGCTAAATTCACACAGTAAGAAAACCACCATGATCTGATTGCAGTTGAGTTTCAGGGTGCAGGAGCCCAAAGCTATTGATAAAACACATATGAGAAAATAAACAAGTTGACTACAAAAGGAAGGCCTGCCAAGTCCCTCTGTTCAGGACATGGTCTGTGATTTTGGCATAGTAGCTGCACTCTCAGTCTTCTGAAGAAAACTGAGTTGCAAAATATTCTGCACTTAATAGGGCACAAAATGGCGACAGTGTTGGAAAAGTCACTGAGCCTAAGTTAGCATGCATCTGTGTGGATTACAGATATTCCAAACACAGGTTAGGGAAGGTGGAGCTGTCTAATATGTTACCCTGCACTAGGATCTTGTTGTAGTCTCTCCATGCAAGCACTAATGGGAGAAGACTACTGTGGTGGCTAGCACTGAGATAGGCTAGCCTGTCAAAGTGGGAAGAGACCCTGGTTGCCCACTTTGTGCATTGGATACATTCCCAGAAACCAGAGATACTAGATAGTGACTTCTCTGGGTTTCCTGAGTCTAGCAAGTCTGGAGGTAGCTCAGAGGCTGCCTAAAGTCAGCAAAGTCTGAGTGTGGGGAGTTCCTGGGCAGTGTCTCCATAGGGAAGGAGGCTGGGAACAAGAAGGACAGAGACTATTTTCCAGTATAGTTTCAGGTTGCAAGAAAGCTAAAGGAATCTTTCTGTCCATCAGCATCCCTGAGGCCTGTGGGATTCTTAGTCGCTATGCAGCCTGATGGCAGGTCCCTGGGGCTTGCGTGTGGTGGATTTGAGTCTCAGTAGTGTCCTTGGTTAGTTAGCCCGTGCTGTGCAGTTATGTCAATGGAGGATTACTTTGGAGTACCAGGGAGGAAAATTCCCAGGGTGGGAAGAGAGCAGGTCTCTGCAGCCTGTAGTGCCATTTCACAGTTTCTGCTCCTTAGCTGATTAGTGTGGTGACAGTTAATCATTTTCCACCAGTAGAAGAATTCCTATGGTTTGAGGGTTC